CTTCTTTCTGGAACATTCGCGAAAATTATACCTTCGCACAAGTAACAGAGCAGGGCAAGCAGGAAAGCGCTAAACCCTACTCCCATCATTGGCCCGCTGAATCGTCGGCTCAGATCAATAGCTGTTCGCTTCCCTGAATCTTGCTCTTCCTCTCCTGTCTGTATATATTCTCGCTTATCTTTCTGTCGGCTCCTTTTTATCCTGATTGGTCCTGCTAGGGGTTGAAAGAACCGTTAGAAGCCATGGGTCGCCGTAAGTGTCGGCGACTAATTTTTATCCAGCTTTCGCGCTGCTTGTGTTTTTCTTCTAGATAGCGATTGACCGGCCATCTGCTCTTTGCGCTTTTTTGTGGGTGATACATCTGTCCGTCTCGTCAACAGGCCCTGCCAGGTGCTACCGTCAGATCAAGAACAAGCCCTACCCCAAGTCGCGATACTGCCGTGGTGTTCCCGGTGCGTCGCTCTTTCCTTCTCGTCTCCGTCACGAAAATCAGGGTTTGGTCTCGTTGGTCGTTTGACGCAAATGTCAGTGTCAAGTGCCTGGTGCGTTATTATGGCGATGATTGTGTTGTGCCCTATCTCTTTACGCTATCTTGCTTGTGATATTGCACTGGTTATGGCTGCCGTGACGCGCAGATGCGAAGATTCGCATCTATGACGTGGGCATGAAGAAGAGAGGCGTCGACGAGTTCCCCTTCTGCATCCACCTCGTCAGGTAAACACCGCCCGGGAAAGGCGGTTAGGAACGACAGCCTCGTCATATGTGTCCTTGTTATCACGCAGCTTGACATTTTTTTAACGGCAGTTGGGGGCGGTTGGCGACGAAGGCAGGACAAAGCGTGTGCTGCGCTCGTTACAGCGTCAAGAAGTTGCTGCCTTGCCCTAGTAGACGTGTCGGAGTAGCGCTTTCGCCTGACTTCTCGGTCGCAGCTTCGCCCGGTAGACCCAGTTCTGAATACAGGCGTCGCGCTATTCACAGCGACCGTTACGCGCGCAGCAGCAGCAGCAGCGGCAGCAACGGAAGCTCGTGGCCTCGTTGCTTCCGGATGGTATTCGCGGAAGTGGATGGTAGTGGGTCCAAGTCCTCGTGCTCTCCGCGTCGTTGCCGCTGAGCAGTACCGTTTCTTCGCACGCGGTCCCCAGCAGCTGCAGCGCGAATCGCATGGATAGTCGCGCACGCCGATTTCGACTAGTCCGTGCGAGTTTTCGCACAGCTTCACACCGAATTCTCTGTCCTTCACCTTCGGTTCGACTATATTTATCGCTCGTGTTTGCTGTTGGAGGCAAACCATCGAATTTCTTTCCCACGCAAGTTTCCGGAACGGTCGTGAAGATTCAGGGTTTAGCAGCGATGGCAAGTATGCCGCTTTTTGCTGCTGCGCTTGCCAAGAGTAACCTATGAATGCGCAAAGCTTCGTGACTGTGGCTCTTTCATTGCCATTCCACTATCTTACCATTCTATCCTTTTCCCCAAAATTCCGACTCCACCCCCCCGTTCCCGATTTCCTTCTCCTCCTTCCCCTCCCCCCCCTCCCCCCCCCCCCCCCCCCCCCCCCCCCCCCCCCCCCCCCCCCCCCCCCCCCCCCCCCCCCCCCTCCCCTTCCCCGTGTCGTCCCCGCTTCGTTTGCGTGCGCGCTTGACAGTTGGGAGAAGGAGAACGTGTCGAGCGAGGCGCTGGAGGCGGCGCGCATTGCGTGCAACAAGTACATGACCAAGTACGCGGGCAAGGACGCCTTCCACCTGCGCATCCGCGTGCACCCCTTCCACGTGCTCCGCATCAACAAGATGCTTTCCTGCGCCGGGGCTGATAGGTACGCTCTCCTCCCACACCTCCTCCCCCCGTTCCCCTCCCTTCCGCTGATGAATGCGCTCTCCTGCGCATCTGCGTGCACCCCTTCCACGTGCTGCGCATCACCAAGATGCTTTCCTGCGCCGGCGCTGCTAGGTTTTCTCCCCTGCGCCGGCGCCAATTGGTGCGACACTTGCGTCCCCGCCGATAGCTGCGCTGGCGTGGGAGTGCGTTGTGACGTGTGCGCGCGACTGTGCTCTCTGACCCAGTAAATAAAATTTCCCTGTTGGCACTGCTTTCGCCAGAGTAAGAGGTGCTGTTGGGACACCGTGATGCTGCTTATTGCTTGCTAGTTAATCTCGACCATCGCTGTTTCACCCTGTAACGAGCAGGCTCCAGACGGGGATGCGCGGCGCGTTCGGCAAGCCCCAGGGCGTGTGCGCGCGCGTGGCGATTGGGCAGGTGCTGCTGTCGGTGCGCTGCAAGGAGGCCAACGCCGCCGTCGCCGCGGAGGCGCTGCGCCGCGCCAAGTTCAAGTTCCCCGGGCGCCAGAAGGTCATCGCCAGCCGCAAGTGGTGAGTTCTGAGATGGCCCTGTCCCCACGGGTGATTGAGCTTGTGGGTGGGGAGCTTGTGAGGGGGAGCGGAGGGGACAAGAGAGGAGAGGGTGTGTGGCGTGGGGGCTTGGGGAGTGGCAGTGTGGGCTTTGGGGAATGGCAGTGTTGGCATTGGTCCGCGGCACTGTGGCTGGAAAATATTTCAAGTTCTTACTGAGCTTGTTTGCTCTTGCAAAGTCAGTCATGCGGCCCTCCTGATTAATCGTGCTGCCTTGTCTGCCGCGGTGTGTGGTGCAACAGGGGGTTCACGAAGATTGCGCGGGCGGACTATGTGAAGTGGAAGCAGGAGAACAGACTCGTGCACGATGGAGTCAACGCTAAGGTGCGCTTCATGGGCTCTGTGTGTACACATCGGTTCGATTTAGCACGGTTGCGTGTTGTGCTGGGTTCCCTCCCTCCCTCCTCCCTCTCCCTCCCTCCCTCCCTCCCTCCCTCCCTCCCCCCCCTCCCTCCCTCCTCCCTCCCTCCCTCTCTCTCTCTCTCTCTCTCTCTCTTTCTCTCTCTCTCTCTCTCTCTCTCTCTCCCTCTCTCTCTCCCCCCTATTTATCTCTGCACCATGTCTCCATCCAGCGTATGTCTTCTCATCTTGTGGATTTTTTTTTGCCTGCCGGTGCAGCTGCTGGGCAACCATGGGGCTATTGCTGACAGGAAGCCAGGCCAGGCCTTCCTTACCCCTCCGGAGAAGCACGACGCTTAGAGGACGCGTTTAGACTTCGGTTCAGTGCATTCGGTTAGGGCCCTGAGCTGCTTGTGGCGTGGCAGTGTTGTCTCAACTGTGCAACTGTGTTTGTAGCCATTGGCAGAGCCATGTTTCTGGATGAGATGAGATTTATGAAAGCTTTTATGTATGCACGGTACAATACAACATTGCCCAGGAATGGTTCTCTCAATATTCTGTCACAAACAGGTGTAGGTTCGTTTATGGTAGTCTGAAAAGAGGACTGGATGAGTGTTACCACGCCAGTTCATACACATACAGGTACTAGGAAGGAACAATCTGATGTTCCTCCTTCCCACTACCCTAGTGCATGGTTGCAAGAGAAGAGGTTACTAGGAGGACCATCTGTACTCAGTATTATCCTATCCAATGCTGGATTGGATGTGACATATCATCAGTAAGGACTGGGATTATTGATGCAAAATAGAATAAACCTAGTGTGTTGTGGAATTGCTGTTGGTATGGATTCTATCAGTGTCATCTTTTTTGGATTCAGTGTACTGGTATTCGTCTGCGGATGGTGTCAATGTTGCCGCCTTGTTGGGGGCACCGAGGGTCCGCGCCAGGTTGTCCAATTTTGCAAGGCTGGTGAGGCACAAAGCCATCACACAAGCCTCGTGCTGAGGTCTGTTTCGACTGGCCTACACACCCAAGACGGAAAAAATTGTCTACCCTGGCACGGATTAGATTCGGAGGAAGCTTCACTACTAATTTCTTCGTGTCGGAAACTCGGTCAGGCAAGTTTCCCTGCTTTGGGGCTCATGGCTACAATGGCCTCATAATAAAAGGGTGACGGGTTGACTTAGTGTACGGTACATTTGGAGATAGAAGTTTGTCCAAATGGAAGAATAGCAGTCCATAGAAATCAATACTAAGCAGTAGTTCTGATCGGTTTTTTGCTGGATGGGATGTATAATACAGTCTTTCATGGTTGTGTGAGTGGTTTTGCGCTGGAATGTTTAGTCAGAGCGACTTGTAGATTTGGTTCGTTTGAACAGAATCCAGAATCCAGCACGTAATTACAGCACATGATGTTTGATTTTCTTTGATTGGTCAAAGGTGACACATGGACGCATTTCGCTGGCATAGCTTCCCCTGCCAGCTCCCGACCTTGCCTCGCTGGATCAAAATGATGAAGGTTGCCTTTTCGATGTCATGTTGGCGGTTCATGTGGCCGGACGAGTCGTTGATCCGTTCCGTTCCTACCCAGGCACTGCTGACTAGGAGGCACTCTCAAGGCCAGTCGCGCGCGGCGGTTGGGGTTTTGGTCCTTGATTTGCGCATGCAGGCAGTGCCACCGCCACTTCCGCCAGTGAGGCAAGGGCGTCTGCTACCGCGCACGGTGGGTGGCGTGGCGGTGACCAACCTCCTCCTCCTCCCTCTTCCATCCCACCCAACCCACCCCGCCCGCTCCCCATTTCCCTCAGCCAACCATGTCGCGCACGCGCAGCACCGGTTCGAGGGAATGAAGTGAATCGTTGCGACGAGTGTGGTCCCGCCGTGTCGTCTTATCCGCGGCAGCTGGAGAGGTGTCGTCCAGAACGAGAAAAGGGGGTCTGTAAATCTCTAGGCTGCCCGCCCTCACCTCTCCGCGTGAATCGTAGCTGCCCACATCATCACTGCCCAATGCTCTTCCTGCTCCGCTTGCCAGTCTGCCCGTGGTGAGTGAAAGCAGCGGGATTGCTTTCTCGCCCAGGTTTATTTTGGAGCACGTGCTGGTTGTTCCTGGTTTGTTACCTGACTGCCGACGTTTAGCTTCATTTTCCAAAGGCAAGCCGCAGCAGCCACAAGTCTGCAACAGGAACGGGCGAAGCTCTCTCTTTGCTGAGCACCCTAGCTGATCAAACCTAAACCGTCACTCTCTCTTCGTCATCAACTATGTGCCAGCCTAAGTTTCTCCCAGAGCCAGAGACCCCTCTCGTGGGCTATGGAAGCAGGGTAAGCTTCACGTGGCTAAGCTTGTTCCGATTGCTGTCCTCCGTGGCTCATGGCCTGACAAACCTATCCGCCTGTGCAGGCCCGGCTCCCGACGGGAAACCGCTCGCGAACCATCTCCCTGCAGGAGCTTATGGAGCATTTCCACCTTCCGATTAACGAAGCTGCTTGCAAGGTACGCACATGATTCCTGACATCACTTCCCTTTTGTTACGTGTTGAGTTTGGGTGGAGCTGATTGAGTTTCTTTCTTTGCGCATTTTTCTTTTCAGTTGGGCGTTTGTGTCACCGTTTTGAAGCAGCAGTGTCGTGAACACGGAATCCAGAGGTGGCCTTTTCGGAAGGTTCGCAAGCTAGACAACATGCTTCACGCTCTAGAAAATTCAACACCTCCCGAGCGACTGCGGCCGTTCGCGCTTACAAACGGGGAGGAAGAGGTGAGGCACCCGAGGCGCTTTGCCGATGCCGTTTTCTTTCTTCGTATTGTCACTACTTCTCATTGTGCTTTCCATAAGAAACGCGTCTTACAGGGCAACGCTTGATTTCCGTTCCTTTCCATTGCAGAGAAAGAGGAAGATTGACACGGTAAAGGGAGCACTCTGTCAGCTTCTTGTGGACCCAAACTCGGCTGCTCACCTGAAGATAGGGAAGCTGAAGGGGACCAGAGTAAAGGACGTTGGCACTAGAGACAGCACTTCAGCCGTTTCTCCTTCATCGTCGCGCGAGATGTCATCCTCCCAAGCAAAAGTTGGCAGGAACGAAGCGGAGGTGTTGGCGAAGCCGATTGCGTTTTATGGATTCGAAAATAGCTCGGAGGATATCGTGCACGAGTCTGTCATCGATCAAGGACCGGTCGAGCTTGATCTGCTTTCCCGTGTGGGTTGCAACGAGGAATCGGAAAATGTGAGCGCGAGCAAGAGCAGCAGCGCAAATGCTATTTCAGGAATTACTGACGCTCCAGCAGCATCAACACCAGGCCTTTCTTCAGCTGAAGGTCATAATGAATCAGTGGTGCAGCTGCAGGAATCATACGAGACTGGTCAGCCTGTTTTGAAAAGACCAAAGGTTGCTTCTATCGAACCTTCTCTTACTCTGCCAGTATCCAGAGATTTTCAGGCTGCTCCAGTTCCTGCGGTGCCAGTTAGCCCCTGGCCGCTCATCCAGGGCTTTCCCACAGGCCTTGTTTCCCTACCGTTTTTGGTGGCAGGCCAACCACCAGTATCCTTCAATCCTGCGGTGACTGGGTTCATGGCTTGCAGACCGTGTCCCCCTCGTGTTTCCCTATTCTAGTTTTCTCTGCTCCGCTGCTTCTGACCACAGGACATGACTACCAGTGGTCTCTATGCTCTTCTAATAAATATTTTAAAGTGCACTGTTTTGTGCTTGTATATGGATCTTGAATGTTCAATGATAATGAGTTTGCAAAAGATCGGAAACCCATACTGTATCATATTTCCTTGGTTTAGAGCGTGTTACACCTGCCCTAATCTCAAGGATCACGTAGCTAAGATCACCATAACCCCAACCCTAGGATTACGAGTGGCAAAACAACAATTTTTGGTGCACATCACAATCCTTGTTGGTGTACCATCTGCAAATTTGCAATGGTGATCCTCTGCGACCAGGCGACGTCGCCTGAAACGACGCGACAGTCGCGATCGTCGGATATTTTTGTTGACCACGTTGACTGCGTTACTGATCCGAAATCAACCGCTTTATTGGTTCGAACTTCATCAAAAGAATGCTCTGATTAGTCGCGATTTTGTTACAGCAGTTCACGACAACAAAAGTTTCGTCATCAAGGATCACCTTGTCTTTGGTACAAAGATGCAAGGATCACCGAGAGATTGGCAGTCACCACGATCTCCCAAAAAACACCAAGATCGGGTATCACGATCTCTCGTGATTTCGATCCTTCCTCTGTTGGTACATCACCTGACACAGTGATTACTGTACAGTGGTAGGTATGACACTGTTCTGTAAGGATCGCCTACGTGATCCTCAAAATGCAGCAATCTTTGCTTGGGTGTAACACGCTCTTAGTGAGGTTGCTGAGTTGTACATCGGGTTGCAGTGCGGTGCCGACCTGACAACGTCCATCTTCATGGTCTCCTCTTGGTCCCGTGTGTCGTGAATCTGACTGCTTGCCTGCTGTTGAATTTGCTCGCCATTCCTGATCACAGGGTCCCGGCCATAGTGCAGTAGACAAATGTCCATTCCGCCGCGCGCCGCAAATTGACAGTCAGTTCCGCGCGAAGCGAGGTTTTAAAACAGCTGGAGCTATTGATACTCGACAGATTAGACAGACCATCACCGTTGAGACTCGGAATTGGTTCGGAACGAATTCGAACTACCGTACTGTGACCAGCCCGCCAGGGAGTGCAACAGCAAGTTTCTTGAATGGAGCTGCGGCAGTTTAGACTGAATTGCGGTAGTCTTAGAAAATAGCAGCGATGCGGACTGTCCAATTCCGTGACCAGGCACGGTAGGTTCGCCTGCCGCTTACGAACAGATTGAGAATCAGCTCGGCCGCCATTCCCGCCGAGATGATGTACGCAGCATCGCACGCGTCCTCTGCTCCGCCACGTCGTCAACTTCCCATCCCGTCATCGTCTCCGTCTCCGTCAGGATCGGCGGCATCGGCGGGCGATGGCCGATTCGTCCCGAACACGTTCCAGTACAATGCGCGCGTGGCGTCAGCGCTGGTGCCGTGCGTGCTGGTCCTGCTCGGCGCGGGAGGGCCGGTAGTCGTCGGCACGCTGGTAGCGGGGCTCATGCTCTCGTACGTGCTCGACGCGCTCCAGCTCAGAACCGCCGCGTTCGTCGCCATCTGGACGGCATTCTTCTCCACCGCCGCGGCCATCGCGTTCTCCGGAGTCGGCTTCGCGCCGCACGTGCCCGTGCCGCTGTCGCTGCTGGTGCTGCTCTCCGCCGTAAATCTCGTGTTCCTGTGCGGCGTGTGGGTGTCGCTGCAGTTCCGATGGCTGCATCTCGAGCATCCCTTCGTCGTTCTCACGCTAGAGCGACTCCTCTTCGCCTGCGCGCCCATCACCGCCGTCGCCATCGTCACCTGGGGGTTAGTCGCCGCCGTGGGGATCGTGTACGCGCCGTTTTACCTCGTGCCCGTGCTCTTCGCGCTCTACTGGCTCTTCTCCCTCCCCGCTCCCTCCTCCTTCCGCGCCGCGAAGCACCATCCGCGGCTCCGCGGGAAGGAATCCGACGACCGTCTTTATTCTCGGGTCGCTGGAGAGCGCGATTCACGCGGGCGTGCTGCTGTTCCTGCCGCTGGGCTTCCACGTGGCGGTGCATCGCAACCGTTGGATGGAGTCAGCTGGCGATATCTGCGACGATCTGCTGCTCTTCTTCCTGCCCGTGCTCTTCCTGCTCGCCGCCTCCACCCGCGGCGCGCTGCACTGGCTCGTCCGCGACCCCTCCAAGCTGCAACACGTGCGTAGCTCGTACCACGTGGATGCCACGTGGGAGGGATGTGGGGACGTGGGAGGGGAGTGCAAGGGATGTGAGGGGAAAGTGGAGGAACTATAGGGCTTGTTTGCTTCCTTTGCTTTCTGCTCCTCCTCCTGATCGCCCTCCTTCCCGCTCATGCTCCCCCTCATACCCCACTGTTTCTCCCGCTTTGCCCCTATCCCCCCCACCCCTTTCATTGCCTCTTCCTCCCCCCCAGGTGCGTGTTTTGAACGGGTCATTCGCACTAGCAGTGGTGCTGGTGTGCGGGGAGGTGCGGGTGATCTTCCCCTCCTTCTCCCATTACATCCACTTCCCGCCGCCCCTCAACTACCTCCTCGTCTCGCTCGCCCTCTTCGGCCTCGCCTTTGGCTTCGCGGCACGCCTGCTGGGGCTCGTCACAGGCCTCGTGGCCACGTCAGTGCTCATGGCCGTGCTGCTCGTGTCTGCTGTAGCTGGGTCTCTCGTGCTTGGAATGCCTCTCACTGTGAGTCTCTACTACTCGCCTTTGGCTTTATCGCGCACGAGGGATATGTCTCATCACAGGGCTCGTGGCCACGTCAGTGCTCATGGCTGTGCTGCTCGTGTCTGCTGTTGCTGGGTCCCTTGTTCTCGGCATGCCCCTTACTGTGAGTCTCTTCGGCCTCGCCTTTGGCTTCGCTGCCCACCTACTGGGGCTCGTCACAGGCCTCATGGGCACGTCGGTGCTCATGGCTGTGCTGCTCGTGTCTGCTGTTGCTGGGTCTCTCGTGCTTGGCATGCCTCTCACTGTGAGTCTCTGAGTTTGAGACATCTGGGCTGCGTCACAAGCCACGTGTGCCTGTACATATTTTGCTTTGCTACTCCTCACCCACTAGTCCGTCTGTCACTCTTGCTCCTCACTTCATCCCCTAAAACCCACCCTCTCCCCTTCCCTTTTATTCCATCTTCAAAGGCTCCCCTCTGACTATATCTCCCCAACCCCACCCCAATTTACGTCTCCCCCCCACCAGATGCTCCCAGCGCCAGCCATAGCAGCAGTCTACCTGGCCCACTTCCACTCCACCCGCTCCCTCACCTCCTACCTCATATTCGCAGCAGCAGCAGCCATCGCAGCCACCTGGTTTGTGCTCGATCACTTCTTCTTCCTCGCGCTCTCCGTTGCCGGTGTGCCGCTGCGCTCCATCTGCCAGGGGATGCTTGCAGCGCTGCTGCTCGCGCTGCTCGTGCCCGCTGCCACACTGCTGCACCATCCGCAGCGGGTGACTGGGGTGTTGGTGGTTCTGCAGGCGCTACTGTTTGCATGGTGAGTTTGATTGTGTGTGTGGAGTCTCAATGGTTCATTGCTTTCAGCACTGTGGAGGTGCACTGCTCCTCGCGCTGCTCGTGCCGGCTGCCACGCTGCTGCATCGCCCACAGCGGATTGCTGGGGTGCTGGTTGTGCTGCAGGCGCTGCTGTTCACGTGGTGAGTGAGTGTGTGGAGTCCGAAATGCTCATCGGCCCTGGAGTAACGGGAATGACCGTACGCACCATGCCTTGCTTCACAAAGAATGGTTTCAGCTCCACTAACTGCCTGCATGCTCCCATATTATCTGTTTTCCCTCTCCTCATCCCCTCTCCCACGAACCCCCCTCTCACACTATCATCTCCCTTCATGCACCCTCCTCCTCCGCACCCTCTCCCTGCCTCCCCCCAGGCTGGAGAGTCTGCTGTACAACGGGGACGGGCGGGCAGAGGAGGGAGTGTATCCGAGCTTCCTAGTGGTAACCACCACGGTGGCAGGGCTGTATGCGTGCTCCCATCTGATCTCTTATCCCCCCTGCCTCCCCCCAGGCTGGAGAGCCTGCTATACAACGGGGACGGGCGCGCAGAGGAGGGTGTGTACCCGAGCTTCCTCGTGATAACCACCACGCTGGCAGGGCTGGCAGCGGTGCAGCGCCTGCACGCGGAGCACAAGATAGGCGCGGTGGCGGAGTGGGTGGGGGCGTGTGTGTACCTGGCCAAGCTCCCCATGCTCGCCGTGTCATCTCCTGGCGCCACACTTTCATCGCTGCTACTTCTACTTGCTGTCACCCCGCCCTTCTTCCTCTACCGGTGAGTGGGGACCTACACTGGAGTGCAGTGGTTGCACGCGGAGCACAAGAGAGGCGTGGCGGAGTGGGTGGGGGCGTGTGTGTACCTGGCTAAGCTCCCCATGCTCGCTGTGTCATCTCCTGGCGCCACACTTTCATCGCTGCTACTTCTTCTTGCTGTTACCCCGCCCTTCTTCCTCTACCGGTGAGTGGGGGCTGGCAGCAGTGCAGCGCCTGCACGTAGAGCACACAGAGCACAAGATAGGCGCGGTGGCGGAGTGGGTGGGGTCGTGTGTGTACCTGGCGAAGCTGCCCATGCTCGCTGTCTCCTCTCCTGGCGCCACACTCTCCTCCCTGCTGCTGCTGCTCGCTGTCACTCCTCCCTTCTTCCTCTACCGGTGAGCGGGGACCTACGCTTATGTCACTTGCTTGAGAAGGCCAAGCTGCCCATGCTCGCCCTCTCCTCCCCTGGCGCCACGCTCTCCTCCTTGCTGCTGCTGCTCGCGTCCACCCCGCCCTTCTGCCTCTACCACTAAGTAGGGGCCGTTCTCCTCCCTGTCCCCCCACGCAGGGACAAGGCCCATGCGCGCGCGCGCATGCGCCCGGGGGTGGCGGTGGTGCACGCTGCAACAGCAGTGGCAGCAGTGGTGCATGCACGATTCATGCTTTTTGACATAGCAGTCTCTCTCACGGGTCACCGCCCCTCCCACGCGCTGCTCATCGGGGCTCTGCTACTCGCTGCCATCGCTGCCTGCCTGCCCATCCTCCTGCTGCACTTCCCCCACTCCATGGTGAGTTATGACTGCACCGCACACCCTGTGCTGCACGCTTTCTGGTTTCACCTACACATCGCCTGCTCGCCTGCGTTCACAACCCTTGCCCCCATGGCTCTGCCCCTCACACCACCTTTTCCCACCTCCCTGCCTCCCCACCGCCCCACTCAGTCTGCGAGGCGAGCGGCAGCATTGGCAGCAGCGGGGGCAGCGCTCTTCATGTGCCTACAGCCCCCACTCCCCCCCGCATGGCGCACTCTCTGGGATTCAGCTCACTTCCCCGACGAGGACGACCCAGACGACTCCACCATCTACGCCCTCCCCACGCACGGCCCCCTCTGGCCCTGTCTGCACGCCACCCTCTCACCTGCATACCCTTTCCCCCTCACCCTCTCCCCCCTCTCCCGCGGCCCCTTCCCCCACCTATCTCCCTCCCAGTCTGCGAGGCGAGCAGCAGCGCTGGCAGCGGCGGCCGCAGCGCTCTTCATGTGTCTGCAACCGCCCCTCCCCCCGCATGGCGCTCACTGTGGGATTCAGCTCACTTCCCTGACGAGGACGACCCAGACGACTCCACCATCTACTCCCTCCCCACGCGCGGCCCCCTCTGGCCCGCCTGGCTGCTGCTCTCCCTCATCCTCTCCGCCCTCGCCGCCTTCCTCCGCGCGATCCCCACAGGGGAGGTGGAGGCAGCACGGGTGGGGTACGCGGTGGGGATGGGTGTGGCTACTGGTGTATATCTACAGGCGGAGTTTTTCCTCTTCCTGCCGCTGCTGCCGCGGGTTCTCCTCTTCCTGGCGGCGATAGCAGGGGCGTTGTTTCTCGTGCTGTCTCACCGGCCGCCCTCGTGGATTCCGCCCCACTCGCCGCTGCTGCCGGGGCTGTTTGCGGTGCAGGCGGCGCTGCTGCCGCTGACGTACCTGGCAGTGGGGAGGGCGGCACTGGTGGAGGTGCAGGGGGAGGGGGAGGCGAGCAAGGAGTATGACTTGTATGACGACACGCGGCGACAGGTGAGGGGTAGGAGGGGGGATGGGTGGTGCAAGGTTGGGACTGTGCATGGGTGAGGGTGTGCTTTTTTGGGTGGGTGAGACGGGCGTTTTGGGCGGGTGAAAAGTGCGGCATGCATGGTGGGTGAGGTGGACTGGTAGGAGCAAGCAACGAGTTGCCACGTGCAGGCGAGTGTCAGTGCAGAGGAGGGCTGTAGGCGAGGTCAGTGCCGCACCTCACAGCACCTCACAGCAGTCCCTCGCTTCCCTCTCCCCGTCGCTCTCCCCTTTCCCCAACACCCCCCCCTTTTCCTCCTGTCCCCCGCCTTCTCCCCACCGTTTCCCCATGCAGGCAGCGCACACAGCCCTGGTGGGCATCTACTGTGTCTACTTCCTGCTCGCTGCTCTCCTCATCAACCTCAACCTCTCGGCACAGGTCTCATTTCCCATCACCCCCCTTTCCCCGCCCTCCCACCCCACCAGGCAGCGCACACGGCACTGGTGGGCATATACTGTGTTTACTTCCTGCTCGCTGCTCTCCTCATCAACCTCAACCTCTCCTCGCCCCGCCCCTCTACCTCCTCCGCCTCCTCCCTCTCCTCCTACTCTGATGGTAACGGTCTTCCATCCACTGCTGCCAATGGCGCCTCTGCGCTGCCCCAGACCTCGCCCTTCGCCCCCAAGCATCGAACCTTCCAGGTAACTGAAGCATGCCACTCCTGCACCCTCCTCTATCATTCCAGCCCTCCCCTCCTCTGCTCAACCTTCCTTGCACATCCATAGCTTCACACCCATCCCTCTCTTTCTCCCATTTCTACTCTCGTCTCCCGTTCCTCGTCTCTTTTCCCCCATCCTCTCGCCCCTCTCTCTCGAGCCTGCACATCAGCTTCATGCCCTCCTTCTCCACCTCATCCTCTTCCCGTCTTTCCCCCCACCCTCCAGCAGCGGCACATGGGTGTGCTAGCAGCCTTCACCGCGCGCTCCTCATGGATGCCCCTAGTGGGCAACGCAGCAACGCTCGCCTCCTTCCTGCTCTCCCTGCTCACCATGCTCACCATGCTCCCTTCTTGCATCGTCCTCTTTCCGTCCTGCACCCCCCTTCCCCCCACCCTCCAGCAGCGGCACATGGGTCTACTAGCAGCCTTCACCACGCGCTCTTCATGGATGCTCCTAGTGGGCAACGCCGCAACGCTCGCCTCCTTCCTGCTCTCCCTGCCCGCAGGATCCCCTTTCCGTCCTAACACCCCCTCCCTCCCCTCCCACCTCCCAGCAGCGGCACATGGGTCTACTATCAGCCTTCACCTCGCGCTCCTCATGGATGCCCCTAGTGGGCAACGTAGCCACACTCGCCTCCTTCCTGCTAGCTCTCTCTCTACTCACCACCCTCGCCCAACACGACAGCGACCAACGAGCAATCTTCCTCATCGCACCCATCCTCCTGCTCCTCAACCCCCACCTCTCCTTCCCCTCCGCCTTCTCCCACCGCCGCCGCTACCTCCCGCTCACTCTCGCCTGCTCCGCCTATCTCATTCTCTCCGTGCTGGTAACTGTAACCGCTGAAGCAGCCACGGCGGTGTATTACTGGGGGTGGAGCTGGGTAACGCTGGGTTACAATGTAACGCAGCTGGCATGGACGGTGGGCATGGTGCTGCTGTGTGTACCCATGCATGTGCTTTTCAACTTGTTCATGTGGGACAATGTGAGAAGGAGCGAGTATTTACTACTGCTGCTCGCGCCAATGTGTGTACCAGCAGTGGTGCTGCCAGGGGAGACACCAGTGGTGCGGGTGGTGGGGGTGCTGGGGTTGATATATGCCTTCTTGCAGCTCCTCATTTCGCGGCACATACGTGTAGCTGGCTTGAGACTCATATGATGGGGTGAGGTTTGGTTTTGAGAAGCAGTTTCCGCTGATTGATGGTAAGACGTCATGCTTTTGTTCGGTATGTATGCATGTTCAATCGCGCCTAAATATGGTACTGACCTGTCTTGCATCCTATAACCATATCTATCAACCAATGTACAACTGGTACGGTATATTTGGATAGCGGAACAAGTCATATTCTGTACATCCATCGACCCCCCCCCAGTGCATTCAAGCTATTATAACCCCACAGGCAGGAGCTGGGCGGCTGCTACTCTATCGAGCTTGAAGCCGTAGTCCAGCAGCGGGTGCGCCTCTAGCTTGCTGTTGTGCGCCAGGCAAAAGCACCCCTCCTCACCACACTGACTGCACTCACCCCACCCCATATACCCTAGCCCCCCCTGGATTCTTTGATTTGAAGCCACTACAACCCCACGGGCAGGTGCTGGCCGGCTGCCACTCTATCGAGCTGGACGCCATAGTCCAGCAGGGGGTGCGCCTCCAGCTTGCTGTCGTGATCCAGACAGAAGCACCTCTCCTCACCACACTGGTTACCCATTGCCCCTCACACTGCTTTCGACCTACAGCCCCATGGGCAAGTGCTGGCCGGCTGCCACTCTATCGAGCTGGACGCCATAGTCCAGCAGCGGGTGCGCCTCCAGCTTGCTGTCGTGATCCAGACAGAACTGGGGTAGGTCCACCTGGTCCTCCTGTATGTGCTCCCACAGGAACTCCACCCGGCTCACGAACACCACACGCGAATACAGGCTGGTGGAGGTTGGGGGTTGGGGTGAAAGGGGGAGTGCGGCTTCAGATGGCATGCGGGGACGCGGTTCACCTGCTCCCCCCGCATTTGCTCCCAACTCCACTCGTCTCACACACACCACACGCGAATACAGGCTGGGGAGGAGGTGGTGAGACAGCAGGGACGGAGCCAGGGAGGGGGGCGATGGGGAGGGCGGTGAGAGGGAGGAGGGTGGGATTGGTTCTGGGTGTTGGGTACGTTCGAGGGCGCAACCAGGAACGGCAATCCACTCCGCTCTCTCTCCCCTCTCCCGCTCGCCCCACTCCGCCTCTCCGCCCTCCCCTTCTCCCCTGTCCCGCTCTCCCACCTCCCCCTATCCTCTCCCACTCTCCCTCTAACTTGTCACTCACAGTCCCCCCTAACCCCCCCTGCCCTCTCACCTGTCGCTCAGCCATGGGGACATCAACCAGAGCCCGACCCTGAGAGTCAGGCTCGGGTGGAGGATGTACACCGCGCCGACCCTCTGCCGCAGGTTCGGGGGGAGGCCTTGAAAGATGTCTCGGAAAGTGAGGAGCGCGAGCGGGTTGGCGTTGAGGGATTCGCACTCCGTGTGGATGTACAGGATGCTGACGTGGCGGTCGGGGCCAGCCAATGAGAAGAGCTCGTGTAACTTGTGGTGGATGTAGCGCTCTACATGGTCTGTGGGGAAGACATGCGCTGTTGGGGGGGAACGGGAGGGGGGGTGGGGAGGGGGGGTGTTGTGTATGGGAGGATGGGACGATGAGGGAATGGAAAGATGGGGAGGGGCAAGAGGAGCACGGGAGATGGAGGGGAAAGAGGAGATTAGAGGGGTTGAGAGGGGAAGGGGACGGAGAAGCTAGTGGGGAGAGGCGTGCCGAGAGGAAAGGAGGGCGAGGAGCAGCAAGGAGCAGTGAGTGGTGGTCACCTGGGAGATACTTGCCGACGACTCGCACGACGATGCGCCCCTCCACGTCCTCGCCCTCGTCCTCCCAGAACTGCCATGGATGGATCATGAATGGAACAACGTGGGAAAATGACACAGTGGCCCAGTGGGACGATGGAGAGATGGAAGGAAAGAGTGTGAGGGCACGGGGGGAGGGGACCGCCGGTGGGGGTGAAGGCGCGGGGGAAGGGAACGGCGCGGAGGAAGGCAAGGAGGCGGAACGCAGGCGCAGATAGACAGAGGCGCGCGCGCGCTGGCTGAGTCGTGAGCGGGAGATACGCGCGGAGAAGTGCATGGGCGGCGCAACGAGGAGCGCGGCCGACGGTACTGAGCAGCGAAGTTAAAATTGGGTGAGAGGGGATGAGAGGGGGGGTGAAGGGAGAGGGGAAGGGCAGGCATGGCAGTGGCGGGTGCGAAGGCGCGAGGAACATACGCGCGTCTCTTCGATGTCCGAAAAGTCCTCCTCCGGCACGAGAGCCGCCGCTTCAGGCGGCGTGATCGCCGCGAGCTGCGATTCTGCCGATCGCGCATCGGTCGAGGCGGTGGCGACAGGTTCCGCGGGCTTGGCGGTGGTGGCTGCTGACTGCACTACTCGCACCTCCATGGCTCGTCGGGACGCGTGAGAGCGATTCGGGGTGCTTCTGGGGTAACGGGACTGGACTGGAGGGTAAGGGAGTCGATGGGACGGGCTAGAGAACCGCAACCTTCGAGAATGATGGCGGCGAGTGCGAGCGGAATGACTTTGATGGTTATCCCCGGTTGAGGGTGCTCTGGTGCAAGCGAGCAAATTCGCAGTCAACTCCTGAGAACAGTAAAAGAATTCGTCTGAACGAGTGCGGGTTTCAAGGTTCGCGAACACAAGTTACATGTGAGGGAGTTTCGTACAGGCCATCTGGTGCCTCGGTCGCTTGGCGAGGATTCCGTTTCGTGGCAGCACATCGGCCTCACACAAATGCCGCCAGATTGGCTCTCCACTGCCACGCAGACCACGACCACGTGGCGTTTCCGGTCTCTGACGTCGCCTGTCCAGGGGTGGCGAAGAGATCTCCAATCAAGGCAAGGCTCCGAGCAGGTGACGTGGATTCCACAGGTTCCCTCAGGCGTGGCAGTCGGCTCCTCCTGACGAAGCTGCCGCCATTCAATTTCTCTCGCCAGACTTGCGGTTCGGGAAACTACGGTGCCGAGGTATGGATATAGGTTTCCGTGCGGTGATTGTTATTTGACCCTGACTCCTTTCTACAAGCACACACACAGCATCCAGCTGAGCCCATTTCTTACCTAATTCAGTAACCATAATAGCATCCCAGCGACTAGCACAGATCGTTGTCTCTCGCATCTGAAATTCCTCGGCTGCGTCTCCTGCCGCTGTTGCCGTTGCCATCGCTTCTTCGCACATCCGTCGCCACGTGTGCCTCCGCACATCCCGCGCATTCCTCGCAGCCTAGAGTCGCCTCGCGAATCAAGCGTGCTGCTACCGACTGCAGTAGACTTGATTTGGAAGTCGGACGCATCGGGACGCATCTCGCGCAAATAGCGGCCCTCACGAACGCGTTCTAAGAAGCGTCCGCAATCATGGCGACGACGGCGTTCTCAACCCTGCCTCCTGGCGCTTCGAGCCGCGCCGCAATGACGAGCGGCTCGTGCAGCCTCGCGTCGAAGCAGAGCGTTCAGGTAGACACGCGCGACCAACCAGGAACCAGCGCCCTCCACGTGTCCATTGGTGAAACGTTTCTTCGCTTCCCGCTTCCCTCACTTCCTAGGCCCTCAGCTGACCACGTGTCGCTATCCCTACCCTTATCTCTGCGCCTCCCCTGCCCCCCACCCCCAACAGCATCTCCTGATGCCCCAGGGCGCGCGCATTGCTCGGCGCGCTCTGACCACCCATGCAAGGTGAGATGGGGGGTGATGCTGTGATTGTTTCAGTGAGCATGTCGTAGCAGACCGCCGATCTGAACCGCCCGCTACCGCGCAGTGCCTCTCCGCTCTCGTCTTGTTGCCGCCCCTCAGCCGCCCTCCTTGCGCTCCGCCCTTCAAGCCTTCGTATGCCAATGTTCTGCTTGCTTTTCCCACCAATCAGCGGCTTTTCTGCGTCAATGTCAACCGTGCTGACGTCAGCGGCGGTGGTGGAGGCGGAGGGGGAGGCGCAAGCGGCGGAGGCGCAGCAGGCGCAAGTCCGCAAGGGGCGGGGGAAGTCGGGCGGACGGCAGAGAGTGCAGAGGCGGAAGGGAGGCGACGGTGGGGAGCTGGACGGCGAGGTCAGTGCGCAGGCGGGGGGTGGTGGGTAGTTGGTGGGCTAGATGAGCGAGGTAGGCTGCTGTGACTGACTGATGAGGGATGGGCCGTTATTTGAATGAAATCAAATGGGGGCGATCAAAAGTACATACAATCGTTGAAAAAATGCACCTCGCCTGATCTTCTCCTCACCTCGCCCCCCCCCCCACTCTCGCTCAATCCCCACCTGCTCCCGCTCCCCCTCCCCGCGCGGCAGGAGGCGGCGGGCGTGCGCACGAACAAGCTGGCGTGGCTGGCGGACGAGGGGGTGATGCTCGACTCCGAGGTACGATGCGCCCTGTGATGTGATGTGGTGGGGTGACGCGTGGTGGGGGGTGATGTGGGGTGAAGCCCACTGCCCTGGGGTGGGCTGTGTGTGCTGCCAAACAGCCTTGGCAGTGCCAGTCATTGCACCATGCCACAACCCTCAATCCGCCCACTCGCTCTTAGCCTCTCCACTTCCGCCTTATTTCCTTACCTCCCCCTCCCCCACCCTCCCCTCCTTACCCCCCGCCCCCCCCCACACAGCGCACGTTAGCGCGCGTGAATCGCGCCATAGCGCAGTGCTCGTCCGTGAGGGAGGCGCTGGGCGTGGTGACTGCTAAGTCAACTTAAAAGTTCCCCCATCTCCCCCACCTTCCCCACCTCGCGCACCTCCCCCCCCACAGCGCACGCTATAGCGCGGTGCTCGTCCGTGAGGGAGGCGCTGGGGAGATGACATTTGAGCCTACTCACATCCCCCACCTCCCATCTCCCACCTCTCCCCCCCCCATCAGCGCACGTTGGCGCGCGTGAATCGCGCCATAGCGCGGTGCTTGTCTGTGAGGGAGGCGCTGGGCTGATGACTGTCCCCCATCCCACCCATCTCTCCCATCTACCCCTTCCCCCCCTGTGCAGCGCACGTTGGCGCGCGTGAATCGCGCCATAGCGCGGTGCTCGTCCGTGAGGGAGGCGCTGGGCGTGGTGGAGGAGATGAAGGCCAAGGGACTCAACGCCGCCAATGAGGGTACGCCACGTGGCACACCTGCTACTGCTGCACGGGCTGTGTTTTGGATTGGATTGAACAGGTGGAGTAGATAAGGCACTAATTCGGTCCTTATGGCCGATTCACTGCAACGAAATTACAAGGTTGATGAGAATTACCCTCATCAGATTTAACCTGCCGGGCGCATGGAAGCTATGCACTATCAAGAGAAGCCCAACCTCTTAGGTTTCTCTCCTTTCGTCCTTCCCTTGCCCCCTTTTCCACCCAACCCCACCAGGCACGTACCAGGCGCTGATAACAGTGTGCAGGAGGCAGCGGCAGGGCGAGAGGGCACTGGTGGTGTATGCCTTACCCCCCTTCTTCCCCTACAGAAAACATCCCTTTCTCCTCCCCCCTGCGCTGGTCACCAGGCACGTACCAGGCGCTGATAACAGTGTGCAGGAGGCAGCGGCAGGGCGAGAGGGCACTGGTGGTGTATGCCTTACCCCCCTTCTTCCCCTACAAAAAACATCCCTTTCTCCTCCCCCCTGCGCTGGTCACCAGGCACGTACCAGGCGCTGATAACAGTGTGCAGGAGGCAGCGGCAGGGCGAGAGGGCACTGGTGGTGTATGCCTTACCCCCCTTCTTCCCCTACAGAAAACATCCCTTTCTCCTCCCCCCTGCGCTGGTCACCAGGCACGTACCAGGCGCTGATAACAGTGTGCAGGAGGCAGCGGCAGGGCGAGAGGGCACTGGTGGTGTATGCCTTACCCCCTTCTTCCCCTACAAAAAACATCCCTTTCTCCTCCCCCCTGCGCTGGTCACCAGGCACGTACCAGGCGCTGATAACAGTGTGCAGGAGGCAGCGGCAGGGCGAGAGGGCACTGGTGGTGTATGCCTTACCCCCCTTCTTCCCCTACAAAAAACATCCCTTTCTCCTCCCCCCTGCGCTGGTCACCAGGCACGTACCAGGCGCTGATAACAGTGTGCAGGAGGCAGCTTCAGGGCGAGAGGGCGCTGGTGATATAAGCCTTACCCCCTTCTTCCCCTCCCCACACCCCTTCCTCCCCCCTTTCCGCCCTTCCCTCCCCCCAGGCACGTACCAGGCGTTGATAACGGTGTGCAGGAGGCAGCGGCAAGGCGAGAGGGCGCTGGTGGTGTATGCAGCGATGCGGCAGGCAGGCATGGCGCCCGGCATGCTCACATTCAACGCGCTCATCTCCTGCTGCCACCAGGCGCAGCGCTTTGAAGACGCCTTCCGTTTGAAGGTGAGTGTGTACGTGTGGTGAGGGTGGGTATGGCACGTGGTGAGGGCGTGTGGGGCATAGGGTCAGTGTGGGCCACGAGGCATGCTCACCTTCAACGCGCTCATCTCCTGCTGCCACCAGGCTCGAAGATTCGAGGATGCCTTCTGCCTCAAGGTGGGTGTGATTGAAGCGAGGTGCAGGCAGGTATGCATGTGTGTGGCAAGCCGCATGCTGCTCACCTTCATCGCCCTCATCTCCTTCACATGCTCGCTCTCCGCGCCGCTCACCCTCAACGCCCGCCTCTCCTTTCACATCTACGTGCCCCCATGCATCATGCATCAGGCGGACATGGAAGCACAGGGATTAAAGCCCGACGTGGTCACGTACACATCGCTCATGGCCCTCGTGGTCAAGACTGGGCCCTACCGCGGCCGCTCCTCCCCTGCTCAACGGTGAGTGCGCCCTTTGGAGAGGGGAAAGGCAGAGGCGAGGCGCGTGTGGTGCATGAGGTGCATGCGGTGGATGTATGGGTCTCATGGCACTCCACGTGGTGACTGGTGTGGTCACCCCATGTGGTCACATACACGTCGCTCATGGCGCTCGTGGTCAAGACAGGGCCCTACCGCGGCCGCTCCTCCCCTGCACAGCGGTGAGTGCGCCCCTCTCAACGGTCACTCCTCCCCCCAGTCACTCCCCTTTCTCCAGTGGGCCCTGGTTCACTGACCCACCATGGGGTGCATGGGGTGCATGGGGTGTATGTGTGGATTTTATGGCACCCGATGTGGACACTGGTGTGGTGACGCACATGGCCCTCCCAGTGTTGAGTGTGCCCCTCTCAACAATTACTCCCACTGCCACTGTCGTGCCTCACAGGTTTGAACGGGCAATGGAGCTGTACAGGGAAATGAGGTCCCCCGAGCGAGCAGTGCAGCCGGACGCCATCACATTCAACACGCTCACCGCACCTCACTCATGCTGCTTCACCACTAACCGCTCCCTTCAATTCCCACTGCCATACATTGCAGGTTCGAGCGGGCCATGGAGCTATACAGAGAGATGCGCTCCCCGGAACGGGCAGTGCAGCCGGACGCCATCACCTTCAACACGCTCATGTTCGCTGC